TACCTGATGTGCACACTAAGGTGTGGTGAAGGCCTCCAAGTGGGCTGGCTGACCTGGAGGGGAGGGCCAACATATGCCATCCCTATAGGCACATCAATAGCACACTGGAGTAGGCAGGGTCACCTTGCCAGCGAGCTTCAGAAGAACCAAAATCAAAAAAAAAAAAAAAAAGGATCGGGGCCTTCTTTATATGCTTGTATGGGAAAAACAAAAAATATGAGAAGCGGTAACAATAAGAAAAAGTCCCCAGCCCCCAATCCTGAGAACATTGATCCAAGAAAGGTAAATACAAAAGAGACTGAGGACAGCAAACATGCAATATCAGACATGGCATCAGTGGACATAAAGAAATATATTTGGGACCTCATAAATGAGTTCAAAAGTGAAATATTTACCCAAGTAAAGCAAGATATAAGTAGATTAATGAAAGAAATGCTAAACAACACCTCTCAAGAAGACACAGATGGAAGAACAGAGGAACACAAAGGAGAGAACCATTTGATGAAGAATATAAAAAAAATATAGAATACATGAAGCAGAATCAAAGAGATTACCAGGAAATTAAAAACTCCATTGAAAGATGGCAAAACTGCTTGAAAGAAACCTAGGATGGATTATCCAAACTGGAGGACAGGTTTGCAATGTGGGATCATGAAAGGAAAAATTTTTAAAAAATAACAAGGAAATAAGCAGTAACAATACAAAGGCTAGAAGACGACAAGGGGATCTGTAACTTGAGAATAAAGAATGTGAATGAAGAAGCAGGAGTACAAACAAAGGAACTACAAAGGCTATTCACAGAAATAATTGAGGAAACTTCCCAAACATAGGAAAAAGAAATGATATTCTGATATATGAGGTATACAGAACTCCAACCACTACAACCAAAACAGAGCCACACCCAGGCATATAATAAGATCCCAGAAATTCAATATAAGAACAGAATATTAAAAGCTGTCAGTGACAAGAAACAGATAACCTATAAAGGAAGGCCCATCAGAATTATGGAAGACTTTTTGACACAAACCATCAAGTCAAGAAGAGCTTGGAGTGAAATATTCCAAGCCCTGAAAGAAAATATCCTCTAGATTGATATACCCTGATAAGCTGTCTCTAGAAATTAGTGGAGAAACAAGATCCTTCCAAGACAAAGAGGAACTTGAGAAATACGCAACCACCAATCCAACTCTACAGAGAATACTGCAGGACATTAGAGAGAGAGAAAAGTACCAGGGTTCCAGGAACAGTGGCAGAGAGGCCTCAATAAATGGAGCAGAAAACAGAATGAAGAAGATAAGAAGTCAACTATTGGCAAAAAAAACAGCATAACAGAAATGAGGCAGAGAAGGTTGGTTATAAACTCTAATATAGACAGCCTTGATCCACTAAATTTAAAAAAAGGGAGAATCACAGGTAGAGTAGATCAGGAGGTAGGATCCACTGAGATGCTCTATATAGGAAATATAATTAACCTGAAAAAGGGTATATGGGCCGAAAATCAAAAATGGGAAAACAATGCTCTATGGGACAGGGAGCCAGAGAGTAATAGGGGCAACTAGACCAGTATTTGTGGGTAGGTTGGGAAGACAGACTTTAATAGGTAAAGGAATATAATTAGGGATCAAGTCCAGGAGGGAGAAGGTTTGGAACCACCTAGGTAAATGGCAGATTGCCCCCCCCCCACCAATTTAAAACCGAGGGTCTAGGTGAGACCCCAAAATACACAGCGTACCCTGGGGAAATGAAAGGGGAGGAATGGTCTTTAAAATGATGGCAGAAGATATTGTTAATAGTGTATCAAGAATTAAAACCCATATTACTTGCACCACTCTGCTTAGATAGATTTTATTCTGTTCCAGTTTGTCTACTTGCATTAAATTCGAGGGCACAGACAGCTATCCCCAAAACACCAGGATATAGCACAGTAATCATCTTTAATTTCCTATTAACTTAATTTGGAGCTCTGTATGACTTATACTGGATTTTCATGACCAATCTTAATTAAATCTGGTTTGATTGCTGTTTGGTATTGACAGATTTTATTCAAAACTTATATGATTGATAGTATCAAGTCTGAGCGTTTAGGCAATTACACTGAAGATGACAAGACTCACTATGATACCCATTCTGGCTTGATCACTACCTGTTTTGAAGTTTTATTATACATACAAAATTGTGTTTTTATTAATACTGTTATGTACTGATATATTCAATTATACTATGTCTGATGATACAGCCAATTCTATTGAAGATAACAAGAGGCAACACAGGAACTATGGTAGAACCCCTTGTACAGTGGTCTTATATGTCTTTTTCATTTCATGTGTGTATAGGAATATGTTTTGTTTTGTCTTGCTTTGTTTTGTTCCTTCCTCTAATATAGAAAAGATAGAAATACATGTTAAGACTCATGCATGTGTAGAACCAATGAACAGTTTATGAGAACTGATCATGATGAAATGAACAAATACTTTGAAGAAAAAGAGACACTACAGTACCCAGTGCTGATCCAGGAGTATCATAATGTGAAATCCAGCAATAGTATTATTCTTTCCTCAGAGTGATTTTAGCCTGCTTGGGTTTGTTCAATCTCAACATAATGAAGATATGGATAACTGCATGTATAAGTGTGTAGGATTGATAACCATATTACTAAGTTTTTGTTGAACAGAACTTGTTGCAGTCTTGCTGTTAGAAACCCCACTTTATATACTCCACTTTTGTATCTTGAATAACTATTTGTAAGAGGACAATATGTAAATATCAACAAAAGATTTCTTACTGTTTATTCTTTCTGTGAAAGTATGTATTATTTCTACCCATTTTCTGTTTTGTTTAGTCTTCCTTTAAATAAAATTTTTTAAAAAAGGGGAAAGGTGGAAACTACTGTCAGTTTCTTATTGTCTTATCTTGAATTTACACAATTTTATTAGGTTCGGCTTTGTTCCGTCTTTTGTTAGATTTTATGCTTTTCAGATGTTAAGGGCAGCTATTTTGAATATAATGGGAAATATTATGGTAACCATGGTTTCTTATTATATTGTTTTGAAGTCTTATAATGCTTTCATTCATTGGTCTGATTTTATTTTGTTTTATTTGATTTTATTGTGTGAGATGGTATGAACTCTATTTTGAAGAAAACAAGACATTATGTAGCTATTGCTGATTTACTATCATCTTGTTTTGAAGTCCACCATGCTTTTGTTCTTCTGTTTTGATTGGTTCTATCCTGTTGTGCTTTATTTGATTTTATTATGTGATGTTATAGACAATTTTTTTGAGGAAAATGAGGTATTATAGCAGCCACTGTTCATTTCCTGTTATTTGGTTTTGAAGTCCTGTAATGCTTTCATTCTTTTGAATGTTTTTTTTTTACTATATTGTTGTTTGATACTATTGTGTGTGAAGATATGCTCAATGATTTTCAAGAAAAGAGACATTTTGTTAGCTACTGTTGATGTCCAGTTGTTTTGTTGTGAAGTGCTGTGTTGCTTGCATTTTCCTGTTCTGATTTGCTTTGTTTCATTGTTTTCTTTTGTTCTCTTTAAAATAAAAAAAAAACACTAAGATCATGAGAGGTGAAATCATCAAATGAACATCAAATTCAGGAATTTCATCACTGTAAATTTCACCCTGATGAGATAGGGTTTCAGGAAATTAACAACTGATCTTTGAAAACTGGGTCTTTGTGGGGAAACTGTTAAAAGGCAAGAAATACAGATGAGAAGGAAGGTGGTGTTGTGGCAGGAGTTAGGTAAAGCATTTAGACAAATCACACCTTTCTAAGCCTTGCTGTATCTGTAAGGTTAATAGATCTGACTTTCAGAAGTTGTTCCAGCTGGGTGTGGTGGCTCATGCCTGTAATCCCAGCACTCAGAAGGCTGAGGCAGGAGGATCATTGGGAGTTCAAGACCAGCCTGGAGTACATAGTGAGTTCACAGCCTGCCTGAAACAGCATAGCGAGACCTCGTATCAAAAAGCCAAAAAAAAAAAAAAAAAAAAAATTGAGATAATTGTTAATGTTAAAAAATGAGATAATTGTTAATGTCTAGTGACATTAGTGAGATAATTGATAAATGTTAAAAAATGAGATAATTGTTAATGTCTAGTGCAGTACTTGGCACATAATAGACCCTCAGTATGGTAGTTCTATTCTATGGGCCTCTGCTCACATGGAAGTAGAGTCTTGAAGGGGAAATGGAGGTATCCAGTCATGGCATTAGAACCGTTGCATTAGCTCAGGTGGCCACCATGCATTGCTGTAGGCTGAGTGCATCTGAAACAACAGAAGTTAATCTTCCCAGAGTTCTGAGAAGCTGGAGAGCAGGGTGCCAACATGATTGGGTTGGGTGAGGGAGCTTTTCCTGGTTTGCAGATGGCTGCCTGCACACTGTGCTCACACGGTGGAGAGATAGCTCTGGTGTCTTCTGCTTCTCCTGGGGACACCAGTTCGATCAAATCAGAACACAGTCTATCAGAACACAGAACACAGAACACGCCATCAGCTCCCACTTAACCTTAGGCAGCTTCTAACGGCCTTACCTCCAGTGTCTTCACCAGGGTGTCAGCACATGAATTTAGTGGTAGTACAGCACAGCTCAGTCCACAGCACCTGGCATGAGTACAACCAAGGCATACACGAAAGAGCCCAGCTTTGCTTGGGACGTGAGGGAGAGATCAGAAAATATTCACAGAGGAGGGAGTTTCTGAAATGCATGTTGGAAATTTTTAGTAAAAAAGTATATATTCAAACTAAATCGGAGCATAGAGGAATTTATAATAAAAAGCAATAACTTCCCCACCTCAGCTTCACTTTCCACAGTCAACACTAAGTACTGAACGCCCGTGGACTTCCAGATTAACGTGCTGAAATCCTGTTGCACAGTGTGGTGGTGTTGGAGGTGGGGCTTTGGGGGATAATCAGGTCACGAAAGTGGCCCTCGTGATGGGGATTAGTCCTTATAGGAACGACCTGAGAGAGCTGCTCCCTTCCCCCTCTCTGTCAAGTCAGGGTGCAGTGAGAAGATGTTGTCTGAAAGCCCAGGAGAGAGGTCTCCAGACACTGGGACTGCAGCAGCTTCAGCTTGGACTTCCAGGCTGCAGAACTGTGAGAAATAAAGCCTGTTGCTTACATTACTCAGTCGGTGATATCGTCAAGCAGCATGAACTAAGTAGGTATTCAAAATACATTCCTCTTTTACATTTAATATTCCTGTCTTCTGCCAATGCTAGGTGTTTTTTTTCTTTTCCAGTTTTCCCATTGGTTACTCCTGTGATCCTAGATAATTTATTTACCACCTGTTTCTCTTCTTTTTTCCTTCCCTCCCCCTTTCTTTTTTTCTACCTGCTGTTTGAGCCAAATTAATTTTATTATGCTCTGTCCCATGATGAATTGCCAGCACTGCAGCATCCCACTCACTATACAGCTCAAAAAAAAAAAAAAATTCACAGGCTAACAAAATTGTGATAGATAATTGGAAGTGAGTGATTGGATGACTTCTGAATTTCTTACAATATGTAGGTAGCTGAGACTGCCTTCGTGTAGATTTAGATCTTAAAAAAAAGCCTTATATTATTTTGTTAAATGCAAAGGCTTCCAGTCATTTGGCAGGAGTATATGCGGCAGAATTTCAGATGGGGCACAGGGACAGTGCTGTCCACACTACAAGATGACAGTTTGCTTAATAAGGTATATTTTGCCTTCATGTTCCCTCTGCTCCCCACAGCTGCTGTGTGTCCACCTAACTTAGACTTTGTGCGACAGCAACATGACATCTTTTTTCCTTTAAGGAGAAAAAGAATAAGCTTAAATTATATGCTTATCTTTGCATGTTTAAAATAATATGTGCCTCTCAAACAATTGTTATTCTTTGTTTAGAGATACTCCTGATAAATATTATTATACCAAGTTAGCTGGAAAAATCATCAATTCCTTGGCCAAAAATTTAAGAGAGATATCAAGTTGGTACCACCCTAAAGATAGTTCTAGGCAATTTAGGTTTTTTAAAAGTAATGTCAAAAAGAAAAAAAAAAGGAAGATGCCTAATGCCATTTAGAATAATTATAATGTCATATTTACCATGTGCACAAATTCCTAACATTATTTGTGGGTTGCCCAGATGAGTCTGTTTCTTGGCCCATTGCATTTTAGCGTTATCGACTTAGAAAAGGTCCTATGGCCCCATTTTTAATATCTACTTCAATCCTACACCATAATCTTTCTTCTTTTACCTGTTCTGCTACCATACTTGTCTCCCTGGCAAGCCAATCAAAAAACCAGAAAAAAAAAAAAAAAAAAAAAGCAACTTTCACATTACTAGGCCTGTGCAAATACTGGCCCAAATTACATACTAGAAATATTTTTACTTCTTTTCTGGCCCAAGTGGAATAAACTTGGGACCAGGGGATGATTTTTTTTTTCCAGGTCAAACACATTTTTATTACAATTTGGAAAGTTTAAAACTATTTTACATTTGAGGCTGGCCAAGATAGGAGGATTGCTGCAAGTTTGAGGCCAGCTTAGGCGATAAAGAGAGGCCCTGTCTCAAAAAACTCTGTCTCAAAAACCAGTATGCATTTGTGCTTGTTACATATTTTTATTTTTTTTATTAGAGCTTCCTTGTTTGTAAACAACTTCTTTCCCCCCCTTTCACCGTTTTTCTCCTATCTTCTCCCCTTTGTTAAAGTCCTGGTCCAACAAATCCTCTCCAGTGTGTTGTCTCAGATTATATCATCTTTCTGTCAAGACCACCTTTATAACTTCCACACTTTCTGGAGACCTCCAGCCTCCTGCTCCTGCAGGAACTGCTTACATCTTGGGCTGCGGTACAGCCATCATCCTGGGAGCCCTCGGGCCCTTTGGGGTGGCAGCCACTGCTTCTGATTTTCACATCTTCATCTTTCTTGATTCCATCTCTCCTTTTGCTAAAATAGGTTAATAACCTTCCTACAAGTGATATGGTAAAATTTTCAACAAATGACACAAAGCTAAGATTGGAGTGCCTCAACATATCCTAGTTTTGCCCAAGCGGATAGTCTGGCTGGCAATACAATTGCTCAGGGGGGTGGGGGGCAGTTTTCAATGGTCCTTCCCAGTGCTGTCTTGACCAGAGGAAAATGCTTTCTGTTCATGCCACCAGCATCTCGCAAATGTTTGAGGTGTCCACATCAGCAGTGGACCTTCGAACTAACCACACAGAGGGCGGTAACCAGCCACGGGACTGAAAGGACACAATCCCCACTGGAGACCACAGTTAGTGTGCGTGTCTCAGCATCGTTTCCAAGCAGCATTCTGACATCTGTGATGACTTCCTCTTTCCCCTTTCTCTGTTAAACTTAGCCTTCTTCATTCTTTCCTGAAGTGATCCTGCTGCCTTTTCTTCCTTTTTCCTAATACATAGTTTACCTAGTCTTTGGAGTGGAAAAACCAGCTCTGAAAGCATGTGGGCATATCTCTTCATCTGTTCCTTGAGCTACGGATTTCACTGTTTCAATTTTATAGTCTTTGTGGATGTTTCCAAAGTGGATGACTCATGTCCATCTGAATGGAAGAATTTAAGAAAAGACCCTAAAGGTGTGATTCTGTAAAAAGGAAAAGAAAGGCAGAGGAACAGATGAATTGTCATGGTCAACCCAATCACAACAGTTTATTCTTTTCCCTCACCTTTGAAATTACAGTTCCCTTTGTTTTGTACCCACACTCAGTAGTAGTGAGAAATCAGATGTCAGTGTGGTTTGTTCTTTTGTAACCAAGCTGGCTTTATTTTTCTGGAGGATTTTCAGGTGGCCTCTTTAGCCTGCTGTTCAGAAATGCCAATATCCACATGCCTGGGAGAAAGTGTTTTAAAATTGCTCAACCTGGTGTTTAGGAGATCCTTTCAGTCTGAAGATCTGTGAACTCTTGACGTCAGTATTTTTATCTTTTGTTTGGTAATTTTGCCTTCTTTATCATCTTTGTCCTCTGTTACAGTTTGATTTGTTGAATGCTGCCCTTGCTGAATTGGCTTTGTCTTTTAGTTTTTAAAATATTTATTTATTTAGGTACTTAGAATTGAACCGTAGCCTGTACACTGAGCTACCCCCTCCAATCCTTTTTTTTTGAGACAAGGTCTCATTGAGACACTAAATTGTCCAGGCTGGAGTGGTGATCCTCCTGCCTCAGCCTCCCAGAGTTCTGAGATTACAGTATGCATCACTATACATGCGCCTTTATCTTTTAATTTTTAAAAACTGTGGCAAAATATACAAAATAATAAAATGTGTCCTGATTTTTATGTCATTTACCTTTATCTCTTTGTCTTTTTGTCTTAAGGTCTAAGAAAGTTCCTTGACTTTTCCATTTTTTATGTATTTTTAAAAATCTGTTAACTCACACTTTCTAATGATTCTGTTTTTCTCTTTTTAGTACTTGTTACCTTGGCTTATAGATCTCTTCTTTCTTTGGGCATTTGAATGACAATTGCTTTGTTTCTCAATTTGTTGAATCTTTTTTCCTAATAATTTGTCTTGATCTTACTTTCTTACTGCTGGTTCTCTTCTTACGCCTGGCAACTCTGAATTGCCTGCTCATGTGTAAGGAGGCGCTCCTGAGTGTCTAGTATGGCTTCCTTCTGCGGCAATATAATGACTTCTTAGGTTGAGAGTCAGTGTGGAGTACGGCAGGAGGGCCCGGGGGCGACAGGCTTAGCTCTGGGGTCAGAGGGCAGGGCTGTTAGACTATGCATCCTCCCAGACAACTGGACAAAACTGTTTCACTGAGGACACCACTGTCCAGCTAGAAGCCTTAGTTTTTGTCCTTTGGTTCATGTGCACTAAGGAGTTTCAAGTAATTCAAGGGTAAAATAAAGTATAGATCCTGAGAATTTTTCATGTATTGATGGCTTTGTTTTAAATGGTGAGCCTAAAACTGCTTTTATTCTTTTACTGGAATTGAGGATATTCTTTAAAATTCGAATGTGAATTTACCTGCAACAGGAAATATTTCACAACTAGAGCGTTAGATGCAGGAATAGATTTAACGATTTAATTGATTTCTCTGAAGAAGGATTTACTTATATATTGGGCCTCTATTGCCATTTAGCTAGGCATTTCACAAAACTTAAACTAATATTCAGAAGTTTGTACCACCTGCTACCTTTTTTGGATATTGTTTCATGGTATATACTAATATTGGGGCCTTTTTCACACACGCACACTAGCCAATGCAGAATTGATAGCTCCAATGATTCTGTAGTTCTTTTCTTTTTCTGTAATGCCAGCACTTCGGGAGGTTGTGGCCTGGGCACCTTACCAAGGCTCCATCTCAAAATGAAAAATAAAAAGGCTGGGGATGTAGCTCTCAGCATGAAGGCTCTGGGTTCAACCCCAGGATAACAAACAAGCAAATAACAACAAAGACTAAGTGGTAAGACTTTTTCTTACTTTTTATTTTCCAGAAGTTTAATAAAGGCTCGGAAAATGTCATTCAGTCTTTTTTAGCATCCACAGAGACAGCAATGGCCATTCCAGAGCACGCTGCCTGCAGAGGGTGAATGCTGAATGCTGGGCTCACACTTGCCTTACAGAGGCCAACACGGGCCCTGGAGAAAGAGCTGCAGGAGCTGCATCCTGGGTGCTCAGGAAGACGGAGTCCCAGAGCAGGTGAGTGTGGCCCTTTCTGCATCTCCTGTCTCTCATCTCTTTGAAATCTACGGGGTGAGAAGCCCTGGGTTTTTGACATTGTTATTTCCTTTACTTCTGGGTTGTAGCTCTGTTCCAGGCTAAAGCTTTCAGAAAAAATTTAAGTCCCTGGTTCCCAAAGAGAGCAAATTACCCCTAGGGATTTTGTAAAGTGTTTGTCCTCCTTTTCCTTCTGCTTTAATAGAATTTTCTTGAAAATGCATAAATTATGGACCAAATGAGGAATGTGCATGCAATAGATGCTCAGTCCCACAAATAAAAACACTGACATAAAAATTCTCTAACTGGCTTCTTTTCTGTGCCCCTGCAGACTAGCCCTAGGGGTTCCAATCTGTTCTCTGTCCTCACTGCTCAGCCTCTCATCTGACCCCAGCTCTTAGCTTAAGACACAAATATTCACTTAATGGATGGATAATTGGTGATGGATGAATGGTGACCAGAGGAGGCAAACAAAAACAAATGACTCAGCATCTCTAAAGCAACCAGTGGTATCTTCGCAATGACAGCCAATGGTGGCGCAGCCTAGCTCCTGGTTTGGTCCAAACTAAACCCATGCTAAGGCAGAAGTTAAGCAGGAATTTATTCCTGTCTTGTCAAATTCAAGATAGAGTGTCTTGCAAATCAGAAAAAATAAAATACTGTACTCAGAGATATTAGCATGTGTTGGAAGCTGTGGAAAAGATGGTCTCATGAAATTGAAATAAGGTGATTGACTCCGAGTTAGACTATGAACCCAATGCAAAATGGTACAGAACATGGAAGATGCAAAATACAGTGATCCACAGTTAGCCAGATAGCAACCTGACCAATAGTGAGCACAGCTACAGAAATAATGTGAGACTCTTGGAGCGTGGTGATTAGCTCGGAAATGCAGCAAATGGAGCCATCAGACTCTGGTGGCAGAGCCCACCACAGCGTGGTACAGGGCAGAGGGCGTCCAGCCTGCCTTTTGAAGGACAGATCAATCCATCAGCAGCAGTAGCTGGTAGGTGGAGGCAGTGGGCTATCTCAGCCTGGTGCCATTAGGCATTGGATTTATTTAAGAAATCTGTTTGTTCTGATTTCCTGCTCTCCAGGCAATCTCTGATTATTATCTGACTTCCTCCATCATTCTGCCTATGAAAGTGGATCTGTTACAAGGGCTTTTAGTATTCCATTCCATATGGATCTGTTAAAATGCCTCTCGGTTTTCCATTGCTTGTAATAGGGTCTGTTCCCTGCCTCCCCCTGCATTATAAATGAACAAAATGCCATTCTGACCACTGTGTTATTTGGCTTCTTCTGTGAGTTCACCAGCTGAGAGCGAAAGGGCTGGTTATACAATAGAGGAGGGTGCATGTTTCTGTGAGAGGTACATCTTACTGGAAACGAGAAATGTGACATTCTGTGTGGAAGATCAGTAGATGTGGGTCTGCCCCCGGGTGGGGAGGGGGGGTTAATCACTCAGGGAGCCCTGGGGTTCGGGGTTCGGAAGGGACAAGGTCTGAGCTGGAATGTGGAAAATTCCCTCGGTAGGGACATGGCCCACTGAGCCTTATTTCCTATGTGATAAACACATATGCTCCTCACTGCTGTTATTTTACCATTTTTAGGCAAAGAAAAAAGCTTCATTCATAACATAAGACACAGTGTTGCTTCGCATGGTATGCTGAACATTAACATCTAGGTTTTGGAACAGAAGTGTGACATTGTTTCCATCACATTTGACCTTTTAAAGATTTTTTTCCAAACTGAGTGTAAAATAAACAATGTGTTAACATTTTAACTTAATTAAAATCCTGGGGCAGAGGTAGGTTTACTAGGCTTACTAATTAAGAAGGGAAAGGAGGAGAGCAAATGAATTATTTCAACCCTGAAACCAGCCCCTTCTGTTTCTCTACACATGAGAGGCAATGTGAAATTTGTGCAGAGATGAGAATTTCCATCTCCCTTGGATTATTCCGGGATGCTTTTGAAAGATGTAAGAGAAGAAAACGGAAGGGTAGAAAAACACAATTCCCTATTTACTGCTTTTTGGGGTACACATTTATAAATCATGACCATGGAGTCATGCTCTAGGCAAGCAGGATTTCCAGGCTGCAGAAAGCAGAAGCAGGGACTTCATACGAAATAGCAGGGTTCCTGCGAAGGGATCCTATCTCAAGATAATGGCTACTGTTTCCATGGCAATTGCAGATTCACCTGCGCATCCCATCTCCCTGCTCTTTTGTTCAGCGCAAACTCCCATTAAGCAGCAGCCAGCATTATTAGCAAGGCAGAGGCATTTAAGGGAGCTGGTTGCCACAGTTCTTAGAACAGACCTTTTGTTCTGTAATGCATCTGCAACTCCCTGGGTGCTTAGTTGGTAACATAATGGCAGGCAGGTGCTTGAAAAAAAAGGAAAAATCCCTACCTCAATAAAGTGTTTGTGATCTCACCTGGGCCATAGTTTTCTGAAAGAGTCCAAATCTTTAATTTTCAAATCCACTGATTCCCAAGCCCTAGTGTGCTTCAGAATCCTGCAATCTGAAAAGTACAAATACTCAGATCCTAATTCCAGAAAATCTGATTTAGTGGGTGTCTTAGTCCACTGAGTGTTACCATAAATCAAGTGAACAGGTTGGATACTTTATAAAGAATAGAGGTTTAGTCATGGCTCTGGAGGTTGGGAACTCCAAAGCTGTGGAGCTACATTTGGTGAGGACTTTTTCTTCAGAGTCTCAGGATAGCTCAGGGTATCCCACAGCAAGAGGGGTGCAAGGGAGCCAGAGAGAGCTCGCTTTTATCACAAAGCTGCTTGCAAGAAGCTATTAGTCCATTCCTATGTGAATGGATCAGTGGCTTCATGAGGGGAGAGCCCTGGTGTCTCAGTTGCCCTCTAAAGGTTCCATCCCTTGGTGGGCAAGGTGACACATACTGTAATCCCAGTACGTAAAAATGAGAAAAGCCTCACAGTTTTAGCAGTCTGAGTGCTCACCAGGTGCTACCCCTCGAGAGACTGAGGCAGAACACTACCATGGGTTCAAGGCCAGCCTGAGCTATATAGTAACCTCAGGACCAGACTGAACTACAAATCGAGACCCTGTTACAAACAAGCAAACACCAAAGATCCCACCTCTCCAACACCACCAACATATGATCTTGTGTTATTGGGTAGTTTTTTTTAGAAATGGCTTGCCAATCAAAAGTATTTCAGGTCCTCCTTGCCTGAAAGAATTGGATGAGATAAACCAGAAATGGTGCCAAAATGTTTACTTTAAAAATGCGGAGCCAATGGATGTGGAAGAAGCCAGCTTAGCAGAGTGAACTCAGTCAAACAAAGAGAAAAAGCAGATAAAAGTAAAAATAATAGGACATGCCACATCCGAGAAATACTGCATGGGCTGTTGTGGGGACTCAGATAGTGGCTTCTAGTAGCATCCGGTTTTCTTTTATGCCATCCGCATCTGAAGAAATTACACATATGGGGTCCTGGAATTGTCCTGGGACCTTGCCATTAACAGGTCTCACTCATTTTCCCCAGCCAGTTTTGTCTCTCCCTTTCTTCTATATCATTGAACATGAAATCTGGGGAGGTATTCAGATCTTAGCAGTAGCTCTGAGATGGGGCCTAGCACTCTGAATTCTTAACAGGTATCCTCACTGAGTCAGACATGGACCGTGGCATGACTGTACTTTATGACTTCATGTTTGGCATACTGCCCAGATCTGTGGAAGAGGACAGAATTAGACAGTGTCCTCTTTGTGGAAGATCATGATTTTAGAGAGAGCAGTTGAGTGAGTCTTCAAGAATTCCTCCACCCACGAATCTTCTATGACTGTGCTCAGAAGCTCACTCCTGCCGCACCCTCTCAGGCCTCTGCTCCAGAGACAACTTAGTGCGCAGGCACCAGAGTGGTGCAGGAGAGACTTAGGTTTCCATTCAGGTGCAGTCTCCCTGCGAAGGGAGTAGAACACAGTAGATCTGAATAAGGCCCTATTTTTGGAAGGGAGAAGCAAAGGAGGCACGAAGAGGTGTTTCCAATGTAAAAACAATGTATGAAAAAGTGTCCTCGGTTATGGAATTTTTTTTTACAGTAGATGTGTCAGGAAGATCTTCAAAGCAAAGAAAGCACCTCATGAGCACTCCGACTGCTGAACTGTGAGGCTTTTCTCATGTTCACAAAATGGCAAGAAAAACAGTTTTTCTTGGCCACCCATAGGCAATTATTGGAATCTCTTTTCTTCCTCCTAGGAATGGAGATGGAACCCAGAGCCTCCTGCATGCTAGCCAAGCACTCTACTACTGAACTACACCCCAGCCCACCCATTTAAACATAGCTCTACTAACCGTTGTGAACTAGGACTGGCAATTGCAGGGCCAACTTTGAAAATTAGTCATCAGATAGATCTGAGCATAGAAATGCTGGATTATCTATGTCAAGTGAACCATACAGGTCGCTCTATTATGCTGTGAAGAGAAGCAGTAAATATGGAGGTGAGGCCACCTCCAATCTGGAACCAGACTGCCTGATCTCTGATCCACACTCCACTGTGTGCTGCACAGATACCATCTATAACAGGGGAGCGAGATGATGTCATTATGGAGCAAGGTGGACACAGGGATGCACCGAAGTCTTTAGTGGTGCACGGGCATTTCGCAAGGAATGGAGCAAGTCGGCCAGCCTGAAAGTGAGGGCATTGATAATTGCATTTGCTGTTACTGGATGGACACAATTGGCTTTATTGGGGAAATCTGGAAAACAATGCTCTCCCACTTGCCCTGGAAGAGTGAGCTTTCTGATAGTCCTTTTGTATCTATAGAATGAATGTTGCATTAGCCATTGTGAATCTCTAGTCAACAGGGTTGGATTTGATGTTAGATGTTCCTTATTTCCTGCTGACCAGCTTCCCTTCTGCCCAGGTCCCACGGTCAGGCGCATCTTTTCCTTTGTCCCTTTAATATCCAGAGCTCCTGAATCTTCTCAAGCTAGACTCACTGTCTAAAATGGAATTAGAGGATTCAGGCCTCGATGGAAGACTCATTTCCTCCCATGCAGTTGAATACAGCAAAAGAATTTGGAGTAAAAAAGGGGAAACTCGGGTCTTTTGGATGCCTCCCATCCCCTCACCTTTCCAGCTTTCCTTCTTTTCCTCTGACACTCAACACCTGTCTGTGTGCTTAAGTGCTTTGTAGAAAGGAAGGGTGGAATGGTCTACGTGAAGCAGTCAGGATGCTACCATGTAGATGGGGTGGTGCGAAGGGGCCACTCTGGATGAGACCTTTAATTCTCTCTTCATGAGAGGGCTTCAGGTGAGTGAGGTTCAAGTCAAAAGCCAGGCTTGGGTACAGGTAGAAAGGACTCTGAAACAGGCCTGTGTGGTGGCAGAGGCGCTGAGGTCGGAGCAGGCATCTCAGAGGGCTCTGGAAGGGTGTTGAGGGGATGGGTCCTGGCTGTCTGTGTAGGGACTCGCAGAGTTCGATGCAAATTCATCAGGTTGCTCTGTGAGTGTTTACAGAGTAGTGCAACATGTCAGGCATGGTTCCGGGTGCTTGGGCTACACCAGCTAATGAAATAAAGAAATCTACTGGGTGGAGTTTATGTTCTAGCGGAGGAAATAGAAACCAAGAGAGAAAAGTAATGGACAAGTAAATTATGCCCTGGGTTAAAAGGTGTGATGTGCGACGGAATAAAGAAGAAAAACTAAAGCAGGAAAAGGGCAGAATAAGAAGTTCTGAGGGTAGGAGTGTGTGCTTGTGTGTGTGTGTGTGTGTGTGTGAGAGAGAGAGAGAGAGAGAGAGAGAGAGAGAGAGAGATTTAAAACACGGTAGTCAGCACAGGCCACATCCGGAGGAGAATCTGCATCACTGAATTCATTGGTGTCCTGGGCTTCTATTTGGGCTAGGAAAGTGGGCAGGCAGGAGGCCAAGGAAAGCTGAAGCTAGGGGGTAACGTGTTGGTGCAGTGGGGTCACAGGAGGCCAGGGACTGGGAGCCTCGCCAGGGTGGGGCAGATGGCGATGCCCAAGCCAAGGGCTGCAACTCAAGTGGGTAAGGAGGGAATGCAAGACAGGACTCGGCCTCCTCCAGGCTCCACCTCGCATTCCAGCTGCTCTGGTGCATCCCAAGGAGCCCCTAGAGGGTCCCCGAGCTCCCTGTGGGCCTGAGATGCTTATGAAGACCAGCCCAGCAAAGTGCCCTTGCTGTGGCTGTCCCTACCACCCTGGCCGAGGTCAACACACGTGGCCACACCGGCAGGAGGACGGAGTGCAACTCCCATTCAGCAGCAGAGGTGGGTGGGGTGTGCGGTGGACCCCCTGCAGGCCTGGTTTCCACAAGTAACGCCTTCTACAGGGAAGCAGGGAGCTGATCAACTTCAGCAGAGGGGTGGATGGGGTGTCAGGAGCCTGGAGGATTTGTGTTATGCTGTTGCCGGGCAGGCTGCCGAGAGGAGAGAAAGGACAGAGAAGCACAGGCTTGGTCCCTGGCCTGCCCCTCACGGTGGCCACAGTGGGCTCAGGCTGGCTAGAAAGAACCCAGTGGCTCCTTGACCAGGTCTGCTCTAAAGCCCTATGCATGTTTAGCAGGAAGCGATGTGGGCTTTATGGGCATTTTATATCGAACTGAATCATTTATTAACCTCCTTTCCATTCATCAATGCTCTTTTGATTCTCAGGGCCACCATGAATGGCAACCACATTTTATAGAGAAGAAAAGGAGTCCATGAAAATGAAACTGAAAGACCACACAGCCTGTTGGACACATACACGCTGACTGACAGTTGTTTGGTTTCTGCTCACGTTTCATCTGTGTGGCTCCCTCCAGTGCTCTGGATTTGGCGCTGCCAGGTCTGCAGCACCGCCAGCAGGCCCAGGCTGCGTCCCCTCCTCTGGCCAGGCTGGGCGAGCTGCGCGTGCGCACTTTGGTGTCCAGGCTTCTGCGGTGAGCCTGCCCACGTGTGACCGTGAGCTTCTGCTTTTGCTCTCTGCACTGTGTATATTCAATCATGCTTGACGGAATTTACTTTAGCCCAGGTTCAGGCGGTTAGCCTTTTTCCTCTTATTGTTTCTTTCCAGGCTCAGTGCAAGTGATTTGTCTTCCTTTGATGTTCAGTCACGCAGCCCCCACCCGCCCCGCTCCTTGGCACCCCCAGCGTCCCCAAAGATGCTTTTCTTTGCAAAACTCTCCTTCTTCCTCTTGGCAGGGGCACTGAACTCAGGGATGGACCAGTGCCTTTGGAAAAGGAGCCAAAGTTTCCTGAGATTTGTGGTTCTTTCTTCCTTTTTAAGCTGTATATTTGCTTTCCTCTTCCTTTCCCTGTCTTCTATTTTTCCAAGTTTCCCTTCTGGCCTGACCCGAGACTTCCCCTGCTTAGATTGCCTGAAAATTTCCTGCTGTTCTGAACCATTTTTCATTTCATTACACTAACCAGAAATTTTAACCTTTTGTTCTGATTGAAAAAGAAAACCAGAGGTCGACACTCAGCATGCAGCTCTGCTCTTGAGCTAAGGCTGCAGGCAGCCACCCAATCACCTGATGCTCGCATTGCCTGTCATTTCCATGTTTACGGAGTGTGTTTTCATACATTTGGTTGTCATAACAGATGCAAATCTGGCAGAGTGTATCATCTCCATTTTGCAGAGGAGGAAATGCAGCATCACAGTGGTTGTCTCATCAAAGGGATTCTACTTTGTTTTGATCTTCAACTCCGATTCTGAATTTTTCATAAGAAAATGTACTGTTTTAGAGTACTGTACAAAAGTTCACATTGGAGACTTCATTGATATAGTGTATTGCTAGGCGCCAGCAGCCTGTCCTAGCGTTTTTTTTTTTTTTTTTTTTTTTTTTTTTTTTTTAAATCTTAGCAAATTCACGTTGATTCAGGGGCTGCCCAATATTTGCACCTGCCAGCTCACCAGCTCAGCCTTGTCTGTGGTCTGGAAATAATCAGATATTGATTGTTGACACACTGTATGCAATACTCAAATTTATACATTTTTAAAGATAAATTAACCATAGTGTAGTAAATTTTGCAGCTCTAAGAGATGGCAGCTTTTTATATCTCCATTGTTATCCATAAAGTCTTGACTTAGGTTTACCCTTGGAGAGCTGACCTAGTTTTTATTTTTCTTATGGGGCATCTCACGATCACATCTATGCACCACACATAGGGCCCAGAAAGGCCTGCTGACTTTCAGTTAAGTGTGATTTTTCCCATCTCATTGCTACAGTTTTCTTCATGTTTGGGGAGTCATGTTAGTGCTCATAGAGTCTTCCTTTCTTGCATCAGAGAAGGCAGGTGCTCTGCCTCACCTTTGCCTTATGTTAAGGTAGGATTCCTGCTCATTGCTGCTGTGAAAAGCCAATGTTGTCATTTAATTTCCTAATTATTTTCTTCTGAGAGGAGATATCTAACCCTGCATACAGAAAGAGTCAAACACAATGGAAACCTTCTTATTCAGTAAGCATGTCCCCAAACCCTACATAAAATGCTCACTTCATTTTTCTTACGTTGCTAGTAAGCCATTAGTGTCAGATTCCACTTTTTAAAATATTTAACTATTTTTCATTAATTTGGCTAGTACTTGTTGAGTGATATCTCTACCAGAGACCTTGCTATGTAGGTTTTGGGATGCCGGGGCTGAGAAAGTCTCTGTTCGCTGGAAGCTTGTTGGCTTATGTAGAAGGCAGACAAGCGAGCAAACCACAAAACTGTGTGAAACATCCCACCATGGAACATCATATGAAATAGACTAAATAAGCTTGACGTAGGGGTGGCACTGGAATCCTTTGACACTAGCTGCTCTTCCAACAGCTCCAGTTCCAACGGGCTGACCATGCCCTCCACGACCCAGCTCTTTTTGGGCTCTGATATTTTTTCCCCTTGTCTTTTTTAGTTCTGGCATGGTAGTGGCTTCCCACCATTTTTGGCCTCTGGGCTCTCCATCTTCCATTGTTAATTCGTTTAACCTTTCCTGCACCTCTGGAAAGGGTTCTTTCAATGCAGGAGTTCTTCATTTGAACCATCTTAGGTGGGATTTCTGCCAGGGCCACTGTTATCAATACAGGGACCCGAACTGGAGGGATTCTTGCATATGCAGGAAATTAAATGTAGTTACACAGGACCCGGAGTCAGAGAGTGAGATGGAGGGAGGGAAGGCAAATGAGTCAGCAAGGATGAAGCTGGAAGAAGACAATTTACCAGAGCTGAAGATTTAGGGGTTTTATTCTGAAAGCTCTGATTAGCCATTGAAGAATTTTAAGCAGGAGAGAGACATAATTAGATTTCTATTTTAGAAAAAGAGATTATTGGCGGCTATGGAATAAGACATTTGGGAATTGTCAAAGTGACGTGGGAGGGGTTAAACAAGGGAGATTAGTTAGGAGGGACACAGAGGCACAAGATCATTGGAGCTGAACTGGCTAATGTATACCTTAGAAGATTTCCTACCTCCACAAGGCCTTCGCTCCTATCCTTTGAAAGATCTAGTTGGTTTTTCTGCAGTGTTGGAAACCATCCAGTGTCTTTCTGTCCTTCCAATGTCATACACATACCCATATACCTATGTAACACAAATTAGCCAGAACTAATTTCTATTCACAACCAAAGCTCCTAATTGAGAGCACATTCAAGTGAGAGATGAATCAGGTCCGTATAGAAGGGCGCAGCAATCCATAGACAGGACTGGGTGTAACTGGCTGAACTTGGTGACTGAAAGAATGAGGCTCAAGAATGACTCTTGGGTTTCAGTTTGCAGGGCCATGTAGATGAGGCACCACTCATGCAGATGAAGGGTATTGGAGGAGGATCACATTTCCCACTCCCACTGTGGAGGAGGGATGAGTAATTTGGTTTTGACAAGCTGAGTTTGAAATGCTTATGGAAACGTCCAATAGACACTCAGTTATGTGACTCTGGAATTTAGGGGGAAGATTTGGCTGGAGATAAGATCCCGCAACCCTCAGCTTTTTAGTAGCAAAGTCACAGGAGCAGCAGAGGTCCTGCAGCCAGCATTTGTAAGGAGAAAACAGGAGAGGGCAGAGTGGAGAGGAGTCCACATGGGTGAGGAACTGGAGACACTAAGGAGGTGAGAGCCAGAGATCTGAACTGACTCAGCAGGGTCTAGGGTGGAAAAGAGTGAGAGGTCACAAATAGGTTTGAGGCTGGGTTGGTGGCTGCCCTGTCATCTGGGAGAATAGGATGTGGTGGGCGTGAATGGGTATTGGAGTCTAGATTTCAGAGGTGAGGCCATTTGAGAAAGTCTTTCAATGACAGCTGTGGTTGTGTGAGCTCAAGGTACTGTGAGGAGGTGGCTCATGCGTGAAGTTCTCTGGAGGGAAGTTGTGACACACGTGGAGTGAGGTCAGAGGTGCAAATGACAGCGAGGAACTAAAGAAGAAGGCGTGGTAAGGAAGCAAAAGTAGATAATCTTGGCTTTGTGCACTGCACAGCAGCAGAGCTTGAAGACACGGGACAGCCCTCCTGCAGAGTGGTGACCTGCTGGGGCCAGGAGTTCCCCTCCGCATGAGGACGATCCGGGGCAGATGCTTCTTGGGTGGGTTAAGGATGATGATGAAGTTTTCTGACCATCAGATGAGGCGTCCAAAGGACAGTGAGACGCAGGAAGGAGGGAAAGCTTGGGAAATTGAATCTCAATTTCAGAATATGGAAGAATTGAATATTTCAGAGCAGAATATGGAAAGTTCAAAGTGTCTGCAGTGTTGGTGGTGTCCTGAGGATGCTGACGATGGCTGGGTTAATGCTGTGCTCAGCCGTGCTTGTCACCCAAGTGCAGTCTCCTTTGCTTCTCTATGCTTTCGTAGAACAAAGTGACATCAACCAGATTGCAGAAACTGGAACAATCCTCTAAGAGTCCTGAAGGAGCTTCAAACTCCTGAAATTAAAATTCTCTAAGCATTTGAATCAGTAAGCAATTCTCTCTCTTCTTCTTCTTCTTTTTTTTTTTTTGTCTTTGCTATAATCTGGAGCTAAAGTCAGTAGACATGCATTTCTGTGAAAAGGATTTTCTGAAGAGGTTTTGTCAATTATAATTTTAAAGATACATATATTGTAATAATTTCTTTCTAAAAAGATACATTGTGTCAATGTGAAAACAGAGTCTATTTGGTCTAAGTTGGAAAATCAGTAAAGCACATTCTTTTTTGCTAAAAGATTAGAAAAGACTAAAATAGTTATCTAAATTGTCAAGGCAGGAACATTTCTGTGCAATATACAAAAGGCTCATTAGCCTACTCGCGATGATTTTGACATTGCCTTCTTTCTGTCACCCAGATGTACTCCTGTGTCACCAGATGGAAGAAGTGAAAACATCCTTTGAGGAAAAACCCAATTTTCTCACAAAAGGTGAGAGGTGACTCTCTAGAGCCAAAGGTTCTTGAAGGCTAAAACTCCAGAGACCACTTCTAGTTTGTTAATTCTGACCTCTACGGGCTGGAGTCTGCAAATGCATCTACTTAAACCCGCGAAGGCAGGCCAGGCGTGATTGTAATCTTGGGCAGCCACTGCGGTTATAAAGAACCATCACTGAACTGAAGCAAGAACGTGGAACCATTTATTTTCACAGTAAAGAGAAAATGCACTATTAAAAGGCAACCGAATGCAAATGAAGACTCATTAAAAATAATAAAGTGAAAGGACTTTGTAATTTACTGACAAACGTTATTACCCAGAAAAAAATACATTATCGACAAAATCATAAAAGTGACATTGTTTGTTCATTTTCCTCATAAAATAAAAAATTGACAGCTAAATAGCAGTTTTTCCTTCTCTAAAGACTTAGTAAACATCAACTGCACGCCTCCTGTATGCAATTGTAACCTGGGGAAGGAAAATTGAGCCATTACCACCAGAGACACTTGCATTGGTATTAGATGGAAACAACAGAGGTGAAAATCTTATAATTTTATTTATTTATTTTTAAAATTTTATTTAAAGAAAGACTAAACAAAACAGAAAATAGGTAGAAATAATACATACGTTCAGAGAAAAAAAATGAACAGTAAGAAATCACTAGTTGATGTTTACATATTGTCGTTTTACAAATAGTTGTTCAAGATACAAAAATGGGACATGTAAAGTGGGAATTCAAACAGCGAGACTGCAAACAGTTCTGTTCAACTGTCCAGCAAAAACTTAGTAACATGGTTGTCAATCCTACATACTTAAACATACATGCAGTTATCCATAGCTTCATTTATGTTTAGATTAAACAAACTAAAGCAGGTCAAAATCATTCTGAACAAAGAATAATAGTATTGCTGGATTTCACATCATGACACTCCATGATCAGCACTAGGTACTACAGTGTCTTTTTATTTAAATGTAATTTAAAGAAAGATTAAACAAAACAGAAAATGGGTAGAAATAATACATAATTTCAAACAAAAAAGATAAACAGTAAGAAATCACTAGTTGATTACAGATTATCTTCTTACAAATAGTTATTCAAGATACTAAAAGGGAGCTTAAAAAGTGGGAATTCAAAGAGTGAGATTGCAACCGGTTCTGTTCAACTATCCAATAAAAACTTAGAAATATGGTTATCAATCCTATACACTTAAACATATATGCAGTTATCCGCCTCTTCAATTATGTTGAGATTGAATAAACCCAAGCAGGCTCATATTACTCTGAACAAAGAATAATACTATTGCTGGGTTTCACATTATGACACTCCAGGATCAGCACTGGGTATTTTAGTGTCTCTTTTTCTTCAGAGTATCTGTTCATTTCATCACGTGTCATATGATCAGATCTCATAAACTGGTTATAGATTCTACACATGCATGAGTCTTAACATATATTTCTATCCTTTCTATACTAGAGGGAGAAACAAAACAAAGCAAGGCAAAACAAAACATATTCCTATAAACACATGAAATAAACCTATAAGACCGTTGTACGAATCGTTCTACCATAGTTCCTGTGTTGTCTCTTGTTATCTCCAATAGAATTGGCTATATCATCAGACATAGTATAATTGAATATGTCAGTACGTAACAGTATTAATAAAAATACAACTTTGTATATAGTATAGAACGTCAAAAACTGGCAGTTATCAAACCAGAATGTGTATCATTGAGTCTTGTCATCTTCAGTGTAGTTGCCTGTACTCTCAGACTTGATACTATCAATCACATCAGTTTTGAATAAAATCTTCTCTGCCTCATTTCTGTTTTGCTGGTTTTTTGCCATCAGTTGTCTGCTTATCTTCTTCATTCTGTTTTCTGCTCCATTCATTGAGGCCTCTCTGCCACTGTTCCTGGAATCCTAGTACTTTTCTCTCTCTCTAGAATGCCCTGCAGTATTCTCTGTAGAGTTGGATTGGTGGTTGCAAATTTCCCAAGTTCCTCTTTGTCTTGGAAACATCTTGTTTCTCCACCAATTTCTAGAGACAGTTTATCAGGTTATATCAATCTGGGATGGAGGTTATTTTCTTTCAGGGCTTGGAATATTTCGCTCCAGGATCTTCTTGACTTGATGATTTGTGTCAAGAAGTCTGCCATTATTCTGATGGGCCTTCCTTTATAGGTTATCTGTTTCTTGTCTCTAACAGCTTTTAATATTCTGTTCTTATATTGAATTTCTGGGATCTTGATTATTATATGCCTGGATGTAGCTCTGTTTAGGTTGTAGGTGGCTGGAGTTCTGTATGCCTCATATATCAGCATATCATTTCCTTTTCCTATGTTTAGGAAGTTTTCCTTAATTATTTCTGTGAATAATCTTTGTAGTTCCTTTGTTTGTATACCAGCTTCTTCATTTACATTCTTTATTCTCAAGTTATAAATCCTTTTGTCATCTTCTAGCCTTTGTATTATTACTGCTTATTTCCTTGTTATTTTTAAAAAGTTTTCCCTTTGATGCTCCCACATTGCAAAATTGTCCTCCAGTTTGGATAATCTAGCCTTAGTTTCTTTCAAGGTGATTTGCCACCTTTCCATAGAGTTTTTAATTTCCTGGTGATCTCTTTGAATCTGCTTCATGTATTGTATATTTTTTTTATATTCTTCTCTAAATGATTCTCTTTGTTTGAGTTCCTCCCTTCTTCTGTCTGTGTCTGCTTGAGGGGTGTTTAGTATCTCTTTTATTAATCTTCTTGTATCTTGTTTTATTTGGCTAAATATTTCACTTTGGAACTTGTCTACGAGGTCCTGAAGTTATCTCTTTATGTCCACTGGTGCTGTGTCTGATATTGCATGTTTGGTGTTCTCTTTCTCCTTTTTATTTACCTGTCCTGGGTCAATGTTCTCAGGCTTGGGGCCTGGGGACTTTTTGTTGTTGCTTCCTCTTCATATTTTTTTGCTTCTTCCAGGAGGCCTCAGTTTCTTTTTGTTGGTTACAATTCTTCTGAAGTGTGCTGGCTAGATGACCCTTCACTCTGCAGTATGTTAGTGAGTTGCAGACAGGGACAGTGTATGCTGTCCCCTCCCCTCCAGATTAGCCAAGCTGCTGTGGCCTGCACTACTGTATTACTTTGTGCGGCCTCGTCCGGACCAGCCACTGGGCTACTGTGGTTAGTGTGCGCCCCACTGCTGGGACTTGACCTCAGATCACCATTGGGTCTCAGCCAGGTCATGGTGACCCAGGTCTAGCTCACTCCACCAATCCCGTTGGGGAAGGGAACAACTGACTGAGTCACTGCTGCCCCTTGTACTTGCCAGTTCTGCCCAATCCCAGAATGTTGTCTGAGGGGGGGGGTCCTTATTTATGGAATGGCTCCACTCCCCTCACTCACCACAGGTCGATGTAGGCTCCCTGCCAACTCAGCTCTCCATTTGGCTCACTGACCCGTGAACTCAATGTAACTACGCCTCCAGTGAGTCAAAGCTGCAGGACCTCGGACAGCTCAGCAAGTCACGATGGCACCTAGGCAAGTCACGGCAGGACCTGGCAAGTCACAGAGTTGGCCAGTTGCGGCGGGACCTCAGATGGTGGGCAAGTTGCCTTAATTTCTTCTTGGGATGAGAGAATTCATCTCCCTCTGTTTGGGGCTCCCCACTCTGTATTATGTTGAATTGTAAGTTGACTATCTCAGGGAGCTTCTGTAACCAGTTGTCTATCCGCCATCTTTGCTCCACGAAAAATCTTATAATTTTATTTTTGAAAAGGCAAGGGAAGTGTGGGAATGAAAAGGATTCAGAACACGGGCCTAGGATGTAAAGAATTCTGTGTACCCATTAGTGGAGATTATTTCTTCGTGAAGTACATTTTTAGGTTTGTGAAAGTGATAGTTGACTGAAGCCATGTCCCCCAGTTAGTAAGGTCATCAGTATTGATATCAAATGCAGATCATGCATAAGATTGCCTGAGAGTATCTCTAAAAATCCTCAAAGAACATTTCCCCTGTGAGTCCAAATATTCAGCGATTGGCTGATAGAACATCACAGCTGTAACACAAAAAGATCCCTAATGTGATAGACAGCTCAGTTGTTATGAGCTAAAGCCAAAAAAACTTTCTAGTCTAAATAAAACAGTGCAAAGTAGAAGCCTGTGAGTATTTTGGGTATTGTCCATGTTCCGGTGTGACTCAGGAATGCAGTGGTGAACAACCCAGCGGATCTTATTTAAGACTGTGAAACAAAGAGTGCCCTTCAGCAATAGTCTTTCAATCTTTTTAAAAAAAAACATGTGCCTATTATGTGCCAGCCACAGGTGCTAGGGTTACATGGGCCCAACTCTAAGGGAATGAATATTCTAATGAGGGAGTGAAATAAATGATTATGAATTTTGATGAACACTATGGAGGAAACAAACCAGGGAGGGACAAAAATGGGAAATGTGTCAACTGGGCTATAAAGATTTAAAGAAGCTTCCTTCCCCAGGAAAAGAGGTTGTTTTCATGGCCCCTTTCTTCACCTCCTCCAGCTACTTGTTCAGACCTTCAGAAGGCTGTGGTATTTTAAAATCTGTTGATAATAAAGTAAGGAATTAGGCAAAGAGCAGTTAATAACTTCAAATTAAGGTGCTTAGAAGAAGCACTAATGGAAAGAAGGAAAGGACCTTTTGGGTTTGGCAATAAGGTAAAGTGGAAATCAATATTACATCATTTAAAAATATACTATTGCTATTGAACAATACTTGCGCATTTGTGTATGATCTCATTAATCATAGTTCCTCATGAAGTTGGTAGGATCAAGTGATCTTGATTTAGAAATAACAAGGGGAGAAATGAAAGCAGAGGGAAATTAAGTCGTTTTGTACAGTGTTGCTTGTCTTGAATTAAAATGTGAGACTTCTGTTCTCTGCAATAAACAACAAAGTTGGAAAAGGAACCAGTAAAACAGAGGTATGGTATGTTAATACCAGAATCACTTTTAGAATGGAAGGAAAGATATTCAGAAAAATAAGAAACACAGTAATTACTATATTGATCTGCTTTCCTCAAGGGCAGTTAATCAAGCATTAGCCTAAAATCTAACATGAGGTTCAGCAAGACTTGATTCTGGGTGTTGTTGGGACTGGAATGGTGGATTGAAACTCTTGACAGATGTTCTTTAAATGAAAGTTCCCAAAGAGCAGATTGTCACCTAGTGTTATACCCAGAGAGCATCCCTGGCAGTGAGACGGATAAATCAGCTTACATTCTCAGTGGCTCTTCTAAATTTAAGCATCTGTGATTGGGGCACTGATATTTCCTGGTATTGCTTTGACTTTTTTTAGTATAAAAATTTTAAGATACAGCTAGCACACCATGCAATTTACCCTCTTAAAATGTGTGGTTTTAGTGTGTTTACAGGATTGGGGAACCATCACAATTTTAGAACATTTAACCCCCTTCTTCCCACAAACCTGATAGCTGCTAAAACAGTTACTCTTATTTCCTCCTAACTACCCTTAACCTCAAGCTTAACATAACTGCTAATCTACCTTTTCTATACATAGACTTTCCAATTCTAAACATTTAATATAAATAATCAGACAATATGCGGTCTCTTGTGACTGGCTTCTTTCACTGGCTTATTGTTTGAAGGTTCCTCGATGTGGTAGCATACATCAGTATTCCATTCTGCTTATTGCTAAATTAGTATTCCATTGTGTGGCTGTCCTGCATTTTATAAATTAATTCATCAGCTGATAGACATTGAGATGTTTCCAGTTTTCGTCTATTGTGGCTAATGATGCTGTTCATGCAACAGTGTTTTGTGGACATACGTTTCCATTTCTCTTGTGTATAGCTAAGAGCAGAATCGGTGGGCCATAAGATAACTTGATGTCCAATATTTTGACGAAGTTAGGTAGTTTTCCAAAGCAGCTGCAGCATTTTACATTTCCACCAACAACACATAAGGTTTTTAATTTCTTGTTTAGGAAATGAGAAACACTCTCCCCAACACTTATTCTGTTTTTGAGTGTAGCCATCTTGGTAAGTTTGAAGGACTGCATGATTGTTAATTATATTGAGCAATTTTTCATGTACCTATTGATTTTTTAATACTTTCTTTGGAGAAATGCTTCTTTAAACCCTTTACTCATTTAAAAATTGAATGATTTTTCTTTTTATTGTTGAATTATAAATGATCTTTATATACTCTAAATACACGTCCTTTATCAGATATACGACTTGAAAACACTTTCATCTTGCATGTTGCCTTTGAGTATCCTTAGAAGCACAAAAGTTCTTAATTTTGATGAAGTCTAGTTAATCTATTTTTCTTTTCTTTTTGTGCTATAGTTAAAAGCAAATTGCTTGATCTAATGTCATGAGATTATACTTGTTTTCTTCTAAGAGTTTTATGATGCTATTCTTAGGATTGGATTTTAGATCCATCTTGAGTTAATTTTCACATACATATAACTTTATATATGGTATGTGGTATAATTTTTGTATATGATAGCAGTCCAATCTAATTATTTTACATACGTATATTTACATATATTTACCAATTGTTCCAGCACAATTTATTGAAATACTCTTTTACCCTTGGAGTTATCCTACCAGTCTCTTGAAAGTCATTTAATGAGAAAGGTGAATATTTATTGCCAGAGTCTTGAGTCTCATCCATGGAGGTATATGGCCAGTGTTATGTGGGTACTACATGATCTTGGTGGCTGCAACTATATAGTAAGTTTTGAAACCAGGAAGTGGGACTCTTCCAACATTGCTCCTCTAGCTGTTGGAATTGCTTCAGTTATTCTGAGTCCCTTGAATCTCCATAT